ACGGAACCATGCTGTGAAGAGGCTACTGCCAGTGCTGGAACATCCTGTGTGTTTACCCAGATATCTGCTCACTTCCCTCGAGTGGATGCCAACTCACAGCCACCCTACCTGACAGGGTCGAACTGCCCCTGTGAGTTTCCGAGACTGACACTCTTTACTGGAGTAGAAAGTCCCAACTTTCTCCCAAGGAGCAGCTGCTGGTTTCAAACTGCTGACCTTGCAGTTAGCAGCCCAACATAACCTCTTGGCCACCAGACAGAGAGGCCTTTTTCCTCCCAGGGGCTCTGGGGACAGCAGGCAGCTGCTTGGGTTCATACATTCTTCCTTGAAGGAAACAGACTAGGTCTCCAAGACTGGCAGTTAACTGTCTGGGATTTACAGTAAGAAGAGAGAGTATGCCCTTTTCCAGAGCTGCAGACTGTAGGCTCACGCCAGGGATCGGCAGGCCGGGACCTGAGGTCATCAGAGGCTGCCTGTCTGAAGAGGCTCTTATAACCAAATGAAGCCAGGAGTTATCTGTGATGGGGAAAGGTGTCCTGAGGCATGGCAGCCGGCCTGGCTCACCAAAAAAACGGATGCCTGTTCAGTCTGAAGCCAGGGTGGGGCTACGAATCACTCAGAAGCACCCCTCCCTTCAGACCTCCCATATGGGCCACCCTGGGAAACTTCTGCTGAAGTGTTCGTTTGTTTTTTCTCTCTGCCCACAACACTCACAGGGCAATTGTTTCCAGCTTAGACTCTGTCTCTGCGGGAAGCTGACTTCCTGTCCAGTATCAACCCCTCATGGATCCCCGGTTCGTTTGCAAAGGGAGTCCCCTGCCTTGCCCCGCCTACTTCCATTGGTTAAGAGAATACGAGGACACATTAGAAAGCAAGGGCTATGTGTCCAGTTCAGCTCGACATTCTCAGGACCTAGGAATGGCCTCCGCCGAGGAGGAGGAGGAGGGAGCCAAGCGTCTAAGGCCCTGCAAAACTTCCAAGTTGAAGATACAATTGAGGGGGGGGGGGCGGCGAGGGGGTGCTCTAAAACAGACCCAGTTGCCTCGGAGGTGATGCAATCCATCCGTCGAACTGCTCCACGTGGGGTTTGCCAGGGCTGATGGTTGGACTGCGATCCTCTTGGTCTGCAGTGGAGAAGCCACCAGCCGGCCCAAGCTTTCTACTCCTGTCCATAGTGAGTCTCGGAAACCCACAAGGGGGTCGCTGTGAGGGGGCACGGGCTCGCTGGATGGCAGTGAGTTTGTTTGGGTGTTTGGATGTTTTGGAAGTGGGTCACCAGGAGCCCTTTCTTCCAGACACCCTTAGGTGGCATGGAACTTCTGGACTCTGTATAGATGCCAGGGGCTTCCAAAAGTTCATGGGGTGAGGGGGCGGGGAGAACGGGAAGATAATGAATATCTCCCCACCACCACCACCACCAAACCAGGGGAAGCCCCTTCCTATAGCTCAAGCGGAGCTAGGTGGACCAGGGCTTGGGGGAGCGGGACATGGCAGGGGAGGAGTCTTCGGAGCAAAGTCCAAGGTGTGCAAGGTGTGCAAGGCTCTTTCGAGAAGGCTCCCAGAGGGAAGAAAGGGCCAGCAGAGAGAAGGCGGGTGGGGGCCATTTCTCCTACTCTGGGAACCAGTCGCCTGGAGTAGGGGGAAGGTCCGTTAGTCACCCACCCCGAGTCCCCCTCGGGGCTCGGGGCGCCACGCCAGCGGCCCGGCCCGTCGCCAGGTCCCGCCCCCAGCGGCCACCCGCCCCGCCCTCCCTGGGATTTACTCCGGGCAGCGGGGCAGCTCCGCAGCTGCCGCTTCCGCCTTCGCCAGGTGAGGGTCCCAGCGCCGCTAGACGCCGGAGCTGGGGTGGGGGGTGGGGTGGCAGGCCGGCCGGCCAATCAGCCGTCGCTCGGGACGCGTCCACGGGGGCTGGGTCTCCTGGATCCCCCTACTCACCTGGAGTCCTTTCCAGAACCGTGGTCCTGGATCTCCAGGGACCAATGCTCCCTCCCCTCTCACGCTGATTCCTGCCCGGCTGCGGCTGCCGGTAAGGGTGCCTATCTTCCGTTCTTGCTCTCATGGAACCCAAGTAGGGGGGAAATGGAGGAGAGGCCCAGGTGTGTCTAAGTGTGTGTCCGGGGGCAGCCAGTACTGGAAAGCTTAGAGCCGTATTTATCAAAGGTTGGTGGAACTGCCTTGCAGTCAGGTTACGGGGGTGACTCAGGTGTGCGGGCAGGGCTCTGTATACCTGGCGCTGAGCTCAGGTGGGTGTGGATGGGACTGTGCACCTGGCAACAACCGACGGTGGTTCTTTCGGCAATGCCTGAGCCCAGGGCGGGCCTACACTTAGCCGCCTATCACAAACGCCTGCTGGGATTTCCAACACGGCCTTGGTTGGCCCTGTCTAAAAGGCAGTGTCCCTGGGCGTCACCGTGCCTGCTTAGCGCAGGTGTGTGTGAACACTGTACCTTGTCGTCTTAGGTGTTTCTGTGGACCCGATCATCTCAGGTGCGTGAAGCAGTGAACTTTCATGTCTCAAGCACAGGTGTGCAAGAGGGGTGCGGCAGTAAACCCAGGCGTGTTGGTTGTGTCAGGATCCTGGTGTGTCTCAGCCTTGAGGGTTACTGTATCAACCGTTGATACAGTAAAAGCTGTGCAAGGCAGAACCTGTCAGAAAAGGAAAACTCGAAGATTGTATTTTCCTCTAAGAGAGAGTGATAGAAAAGTGAGAAAAGTGATAAAGGTGGAGCCCTGCCTAACACCGAAAAGTCGTGAGTCCTGGAAAAACAGATCAGTCCCATGCTCATGAGTTTCTCCATAGCTGTATGTCTCCTTAGGAACCCTGGTGATGAGCATAGCGGTTACGAGTTGGGCTCCTAACCACCAGATCAGCAGTTCAAAGCCACCTGCAGCTCCTTGGGAGAAAGAAGGGGCTTTTTCTACTCCCATAGATAGTTACGGTCTTAGACACACTCAGGGCAGGTCTACCTTGTACTAGAGGGTCGCTGTGAATTGGCATCAACTCACAGTGAGTTTGGTTTGATTTGGTATGTCTCCTTACATGGATGTGGCAGACTATCATGTCTTTTGTGTATGTGCATGTGTGTGTGCCTGCATGGCTGAGCGGTAGTATGGTTAGCCTACCTGAATATCTCCCAGTGTCCATACCAAAAGGGGACTGCAGAAAGTTCGTGGGAAAATGGAATGAAAAGTACTGGCATTTTCCCATCAACTTTTTGAAGCCCCCTCATATGGTGTGGTAGACCAAAAGGGCTCACGTCTGAGGAGGGGGGTGGAGTGGTGGTGGTGGCTCAGGTGTATGTAAGCAAATGTGAATCTGGGTTGCTCAGGTGTAAAAGGGCACTCATAGGGGTTACAGAAGTAGCCCACCATATTGTCTCAGGAAATGGGGTGGGGTGGGGTGGGGACAGCATCACTTGACTCTGTAGTATAGGCAAGCAACCCCAAACCCCATTGCCATCTAGTTGACCTGTGTGTGTCAGAGTAGGACTGTGAGCATAAAGTTTCCAGTGAGGGGCTGATCCCAAGGGCTCAAGTAGAAAGAAAACATTTGGAAAACAATGAGGGCAACATATGCACACATGTGCTTGACACAATGGGTGGATGGATGGCTTGTGATAAGAGCTGTAGGAGCCCCCAATAAAATGGTTAAAAAAAAATAACAACAAAAAAGGTTCCCAGTGGCCGATTTTTCAGAAGTAGACCACCAGGCCTTTCTTGCGCGGATGCAAATCTCCAACAACTGTCCAGTTGGTCCTGGGCACTCAGCCATTTGCACCACCCAGGGAGTGTACTCAAGTTCCAGGTGTGAGGAGAGGGGGTTCTACCTGTGGTGGTGAGGAGGGAGTTCTCTGGGAAAGGAGCCTTGTGTGTATGAACCACAGGGTCCTGGCTGTTTCTGATCATTTCCCTCCTGCTGTACCTAAGTGGGGTTTGAGTGAGACCCTCTCTCTGGCAGGGTCCTTTCTGCAGACATGCTCCCAGAGCAGAGTTCTCTATGGCTACTGCAGCTGCTCAGGGGCATCCAGCTGGCCCAGTTTTACCGACCCATGCTGGAGGAACTGAATGTCACCCTGCCGGAACACTTTGACTTTGTAAGGCCCCAGGACCTGGATGGCATTGGAATGGGCCGCCCTGGTGAGACCCTCCCACCTTGAAGTCCTTGGCCTCCCCCTCCCCAAACAACTCCACACCCCTCCCCAACACCCTCCCCTCTACCCTTTTTCTGGCCTGCAAATTCTTCAGCACCCTGGTCCCCAGTCCCAGTCCTCTGATTCCGTCTCTTCCAGCCCAGCGCAGACTGGCTGAAGCCCTAAAGAAGCACCGCTCTGGGCTCAAGTCCAAGAACTGGGTCTACAAGGTGTGTTTGGTGGGGAGAAGGGGGGCACTTACAGGGCCTCTGGGCAGGGTGGAGCTCAGTATGGGGGAGGTGTCTGTCCCTGGGCATACTCTGATTTCTCCTTTTTCAGATCCTTGGGGGGCTTGTCCCTGAGCAGGAGACTCCTCCACCCCCAGAGAGCCCTTTGTACCCTGCTGAACCTGAGGGGGGCCTCAAGTGTCTGATCCCAGAAGGTGCTGTGTGCAGAAGGGAGCTGCTGGGCTCCGGCTGCTTTGGTGTGGTGCATCGAGGACTGTGGATGCTGCCCGGTGGCAAGAGCGTGAGTGCCCAGGAAGCCCCTGGCCAGCGTCGCAGGCAGTCTCTTCCCTGCGTCCCACCCCCTCCCCATAGCCATTCCCCAACATGCCTGTTGGTCTCCTCTCCCTAGGTCCCAGTCGCTGTCAAGTCCCTCCGGGTGGGTGCGGGAGGACCCATGGGAGACGAGCTGGGGGCTTTCCTCCGAGAGGTGTCAGTCATGATGAACTTGGAGCACCCCCACGTGCTGCGACTGCACGGACTCGTCCTGGGCCAGCCCTTGCAGATGGTGAGTAAAACCAACCCGCCCCCCCAGGTCCCCCAACAGCTTGGCGCTGGTGGCGTGTCACTGGAGGCTGAGTGGCTCACTGGGAACGGCTCCCACAGTGCTGTGCTCCCCCAGGTCATGGAGCTGGCACCGCTGGGCTCTCTGCACACCCGCCTCACGGCCCCGGCGCCTGCACCCCCGCTGCCCGTGTCCCTGCTCTGCCTCTTCCTGCGGCAGCTGGCAGGGGCCATGGCCTACCTGGCAGCCCGCGGGCTGGTACACCGAGACCTCGCCACGCGCAACCTGCTGATGGCCACGCCGCGCACCATCAAGGTGGCGGATTTCGGACTGGTGCGGCCGCTGGGCGGTGCCCGGGGGCGCTACGTCATGGGCGGGCCACGCCTCATCCCCTATGCCTGGTGAGGGGCGGGGCAATGGGTGGAGCCGGGTGCATGGGCGGGGCCGAAGGGCAATCGTTATGGGCTTGGCATGGGAGGCTGGGACCAGAGGGGTCAGCGCAGGGCAGACTTGGGGAGCACCACAGGGGCGCTCAGAGGGAGGTGGGAACCCTAAGGGGCTCTTCCTTATCTCACGCCCTTCAATACCTTTTCCACAGGTGTGCCCCAGAAAGTCTGCGCCAAGGGGCCTTCTCTTCCGCCTCAGACGTGTGGATGTTTGGGGTGACGCTGTGGGAGATGTTCTCTGGGGGTGAGGAGCCCTGGGCAGGCCTCCCACCCTACCTCATCCTGCATCGCCTGGAGAAGGACTGCGCCCGGCTGCCCAGGCCCCCGCTCTGCTCCCGGGCCCTTTACACCCTAGCCCTGCGCTGCTGGGCCCCTTACCCTGCTGACCGGCCTAGCTTTACCCACCTGGAGCGTCTGCTCCAAGAGGTGGGGACCCCTCCTTCCCCAAACACAGCCTCCCTTCCCTTTCCTTCGCCCCCAGTTGGGTTCCAGTACAGACCCACGTATTGATCGCTGTGCTGGCCTCTGAACAAAACCCCTTGGGGCCCTAGCTGTGGGGAGCTCAGGGCGCTACAGGAAGGTCAGCGTGGGAGGGGGAAGTACGCTTGAAGAGGCTGCGGGAGCCGGGCTGTGCCACGGAGGGATGTGTGGCTGTTAACCAGCAGCAAGTATCCTCCGGCACTTGATCTGTGTCAGCTGCGACGCTGAGCGCTTCGCGTGCATCTCATTTAATCCTCTTGTCAACCCTGGGGGGTCACCGTCATCAGCTCAGTTTTACAGATGGGCCCACGGAGGCACGGTCAGTTGAAGTGACTTACCTAGAGTTCCCTTGGTTCCCCTCCGAAGGGTCAGGTTTCTCCTTGACCCCTGGGCTGTGCCTAGCTTGGCATGGACCCATGCCTTCCTCCCCCATTGGACTAAACCTGAAGGGGCAGTGAGTCCTACCCTATAGACCCAACACAGGACACACCAGGCAGGCCTTTGATTGGCAGCCACACACACCAGGGAGAGTTCCTTCATCTGTGCTGTCCATATGACCCTTACAACTGGACTGCAAGTCAGGCCCCTCCCTTCCTGTCTCCGCAGGCCTGGCCCCCGGAGGGACACTGTGTGAGGGCTGTCACAGAGCCTGGTGCCCTGAGGATGGAGCTTGGTGATCCCATCACCATCATCGAGGGCAGGTGAGCATCGTTCCTTCTGTGCATCTGCCCTGCTCCTTTGAACCATGATCCCCTGTCTATTCCACTGTTTCCCACTGTGGGTGATAGCCCCTGCAGGTGGCTGCCACAATCCAGGAGGCTGCAAAAGCAGATTCCTACACTTTATCCGGGATGATGGGCTACCGTATAAACGTCTTTCACTGGACACGGGGGTTGGGGGAACACTCAGTAATTTTTTTTCCCCTGAAAAGGAAGCATTAGGCCAAAGAAGTTTGGGACTCTGTGGTCTCTTTTGTTACCCCCCGGGGCCCTGAGGAAATTGTCACAATCCTGGTCTCTGCTGAAACCACAGGTGGCCTAAACAGTTTTTTGTGTTATTGAGAAAAAGACTCCCCATCACTCACCCCTGCTGTACAGCTCCACAGTCCCGTCCCAGCTTGGGAAAGGGAGGGTGGGCTCTCCTGTTCCCACTCTGCCCTCATAAGCCCCTCCTTCCACAGCTCGGACTCCACCACCTGGAAAGGCCAGAATGGAAAAACGTTCAAAGTGGGCAGCTTCCCCGCCTCAGCAATTACATTGGCAGAGCCACCAACCGCCAGCCCAGTGCACAGAGGCTCCCCGGCACAGGGCCAGCGACGCCGGGGCAGCGCCAACGGGTGAGGGGCGAGCTGGGTCGGAGGGCCCAAGTCCAGCAACTCCTCCTGAAGGGAAGCCTGGGGAGGAGTCCAGAGGTGAGGCTGCACTGGCCTCCCCAATCGAGCTTCTGGCCTGGATCTTGGTTCCTTGGCAGGCCAGAGAGGGGACACTGGGTCATTCTCCCACAGGGACAGAGCCAAGGTCAAGCTTGAGGAGCTACCTCCAGCACAGGGCCAGAGAAGGAAGATGCCCCTGCGTAGCATGAGAGGTGGGTATGCAGCAGGCACCGGCCACCAGGTCGGAGATATGAGCCAGTCTCCACTCCTGCCCTGAAGCACTGGCCTCCAGTGCTTTCGTCAGTCTGCCTGCTGGCTTCCTAGCTATACTCTAGGGCAGCGGTTCTCAACCTTCCTCAGGCCACGACCCTTTCATACAGTTCCTCATGTCGTGGTGACCCCCCCAACCATAAAATTATTTTCATTGCTACATCATAACTGTCATTTTGCTTCTGTTACGAATTGGGCGACCCCTGTGAAGGGGTCGTTGGACCCCAAAGGGGTCACAACCCACAGGTTGAGAACCGCTGCTTTAAGGTCTTGCTTCAGGGACAAAGGCCCCCTGCTGAGAGTATTGCCCGCTCTCAGGGCTGGGGCGGGCCCAGCCCTCTCCTCCCCTCCCATGCCCTCCCTGCTGAGTCTGTTCTGCTGTGTTGTTGGCCTGCCTGACACACGGACCCCTTTTAAAACAGACCAGGGGCTCATCTGTGCGTGCTCACAGAGCCATCTAGCAGGGCCCAGCAGGCTGGCAGGACAGGGCCTGAGACGGCAGGGATGGGCTTCTGGGGTCTCTTCTCACATGGTCCCTTTCGCAACTCCGCAGGTCTGTCCAAGAGCTTGGAGTCAGTTCTGTCCCTGGGCCCTCGCCCCACAGGAGGTGGCTCAAGTCCCCCTGAACTTCGACATGCCAGAACTGGGCCGGAGGGACCCCCAGCCCTGCCACCCCGTCCACCCTTGGCCTCCAGCTCTTCCTCTCAGTTCAGATTGTCCCCCAGCATGCAGCCACCCCGGCCCCAAAGAGAACCCCTCCACAGCCACCCCAGGGGAGCAGCTGGAGCCAACAAAGCCGCAGGGCCCCCTGGAGGCCGCCTGCTGGACCCCGAGTTGCAGAGGAGGATAGTAGAGGTGAGACCTGCCCGGAGTGGCCCCACATCCAAAAGGGGCTGCGGGATTAGAGTGGGGCCCTGAGGTAGCTTTTTCTCCCCAAGGTGGAGCTCAGTGTGCACGGAGTCACCCACCAGGAGTGCCGGGATGCACTGAGAACCACAGGGGGAGATGTGACCTCTGCCATCCAGAACCTCAAGGTAGAGCCAGCCTTTCTCCTCAGCTCCTTCCTCCCCTGCCCCTGCCCCTGCCCCTGCCCCGGGGCAGCTAGCTCAGCCTGCCTACTCTCCTGGCCCCACAGGTAGATCAGCTATTCCACCTGAGCAGCCGCTCCAGGGCTGACTGCCGCCACATCTTGGAGCATTACCACTGGGACCTCTCAGCCGCCAGCCGCTACGTCCTGGCGCGGCCCTGAGTGCTGCCCCTTGGGAAAGGACACCAGCCCTTAACGCCTGGGACCTTTGGCACCTGGCCCTGTGTGGCTAAGCAGAGCATGCGCCTGGCAGAGGCGGACTCCCACTGCGGGAAGATTCGCTGCAGGCAGGTACAGGAGCCTAGGGTTGCCGCTGGCCAGTGCTTCCTCGCTCCCCTGGACCTCTGAGGGCTCGGGTCCCTGGCTGGGCCAGAGCAGGTTGTATGTAGTCCACGCTGCCCACAACACTGCCAACCAAGAGGAGGAGTCGGAGGAACAGAGCTGCTACACGCCATGCATGGAGGCTGTGGTTGCGTGGGTCATGGGAAGAGCCATCCTGGAGGACGGACGAGGTTCTGTTGACGTGGGTCCCGTGGCCCCAACTGCCTTGGCTTGTCCAGGACCAGCGTGGTGAGGAAACCCTGCTCCTCTGGACTCGAGGGCCGTTGATCCTGGTGCCGTGTATTATGGGGAGGGCCAGGCAGCCCGTCATGTTTTGTCTTTGCACAGACTCTTTCTCCTACGCCCCTGCCCCCATGACATACATCTTCCAATGTTCAAAACGTTATAAAGTTTATATGGACAGAACATACAAAGATGTAGCCTCCTTCCAGGGCGAGGGAAGGAAGAGGTGGTTAAATAAGGCACAGGAAGCTGCAGCAAGCACCAGCTGTGGGCGGGGCCCAACAGGAAGGAGAGGTTGGCATTAGGGCCCAACCCCTACAGCTGTTCATGGGGGAAGCAGAGTCCCCTCAAAGTGCTGTCCTCTGGAGGAGGCTGAACTGATTGGCCAAGCTCATGCAGGGGAGGGGCGGTCCCGCCTGCTAGTCTTTGGTGCGGTTTACCCTCCTCTGCACCAGCTCTGTCAGAACACCCCAAAGTCCTGGTTCCCAAAGGCCTCTTGAGGAACTGAGGCCCCAGAAGGGGAGGGGACGGAGGGAGGGCGTGGTAAAAGCTATGCAGCGGTGGAGGGGAGCAGAGAAAGGGCTCTTGTACACACCCTTCTGCGGAGGCCACAGGTGAAGGAGGCCAGAGAAGCAGGGCAGGGATAGCGCACTGCACGTGGCCCCCAGCCTCTCCGTGGAGGACAGAAGCAGACCAGCCAGAGCTGGTGACCATCGAATTCTGTTGGTGATGGTCTCCTCCCGTGAAGCCACCTCTAGCCGGTGATGGCGGCGGGTCCGGCACCGCCTCGCTTCTCAAAGAACATGTAATCCTGTGGGGAGGATATGCTGTTAGCAGGACAGGCAGCTGAGCTCAGCGACCACAAGCCAGGTTCCTACCCCAAGCCCCCACCCACTGCCCTGCAGGTAGGCCAGGAAGTGCACAGAGCTCCAAGTTCGAAGCAAAGGGTAAAGAGAGAGAGAGTGTGTGTGTGTGTGTGCAGCCACTCACAATAAGGAACGTGGCTCCCAGCAGCACAGCCTTCACCTTCACGTCGAGATCCACCGGGAACTGGAGGCCAAAGTCGTCTGCATCCGTGAGGGCCTCCCGGAGCAGGCCGCCCCACTGCTTGCTGATGCGGCCCACACTGCGAGACTCATCTCGGGTCTTCACCTGCCAGGAGGGGAGTGGGGGTGGGGCGGAGGAGACCAACTGGGGAGGAGGTGACCACTCCCACCTGTCTCCACTCTCAGGCCCCTAGCACCATTGAGTGCTCTCACTCTTAACTGCCTGGGCCTGAACCTCAACATTAGGTCTTTTAAAAAGTACCTTTCAGTCCCTCAGAAAGCCAAACTCACTGCCATCCAGTGGACTCAGACTCATGGTAGCTCTACAGGCCAAAGTAGAACAGTAACTCTTTCCGGGAGGAGAATGTTTTTTCTTTCTCCCTCGGAGCAGCTGGTGGTTTCAAACTGCTGACCTTGCGGTTAGCAGCCCAATGCATAATCACTACACCAGCCCAAAAAACCCCACAAACTCTCTGCTGTCGAGTCAATGCTGACTCATAGCGACCCCCTATGAGCTTCTGCCCTCGGAGCAGCTGGTGGTTTCAAACTGCTGACCTTGCGGTTAGCAGCCCAATGCATAATCACTACACCAGCCCAAAAAACCCCACAAACTCTCTGCTGTCGAGTCAATGCTGACTCATAGCGACCCCCTATGAGCTTCTGCGTCTGCAAACAGGAGTTTACAGGAGTAGAAAGCCCAGTCTTTCATCTGAAGAGCTGCTGGTGCGTTTGAACTGCCAACCATCTGGATCTCAGCCCAAATCACTACACCAACTACTCCAAAAAACCAACTTCATAGCCACCCTGATAGGCCAGGAGCAAAATCCTCGTCTTTCTCCCAAGGAGCAGCTGGAGGTTTTGACCTGCTGACCTTGTGGATTGCAGCGGAATGAGTAACCACTACCCCACCAGGCACAGTGATTTCCCCCCAACCTTGGATTTCCATATGAGAACCAGGGAAATCAGGGCGGCCTAGGTCGCAAGGCAAGTGTGTGCAAAACGGGCATTCCAACTGGAGTCTGTTGCTCTCCAAAAGTTGTAGGAGACGTGGCTGGGCGTCAGTGGTGGGAGAAAGGGAAACAAGGATAGAGTCTGATCCCCTCAGGGGATGGCTGGTTGCTAGGATTGCTCCGGTTTCCAGTGTCCCTGTCACTTGCCATGGTGTCGCTTATGTCCTTCACCAAGGAGCCTGCCCGAGAGGGCAAGACTGCTGCAGTGCTGGCTGCCCTCCACCAGCCACCCAGGCCCTGTGAGGGAGGGCTGTTTCCACCTTCCCACCCAAAACCACACCAGTTGCCACTGGGTTGGGTCTGCATGGAGAGAGTGGGGTGCGGGGGGAGCGCAGAACTGTGGCTCCATCAGGTTTCCAGTGGCTGAGAGTTTGGAAGCAGATCACCAGATCTTTCTATTAGCAGCTGAATATGTTTATTTATCACTTGTACCACAGAGGGACTCTGCGTCTGCCCCAGGAGTAGACCCAACATTTCTCCAATTTGAAAACCAGTGAGGACCCGACTCAACATTGCATGCAAACTGCAGCTAGAGGGGATTCAAACCCATCGATTAGGGGAGAGGAGAGGGGGCAGCCATGAATTGGTCCCTGAGGACTATGATTTCCACCCCGAGCCCAGCAGCAAGAAGCCCCGCCAGTGTGGCTGGAATGCACAAAGACACCAGGGGCCCTTTCCTCTGCTTATCTCCCAGGGACTGGACCTAAAGTAGAAGCCCCTTTGATGTCCTTTGTCCTCTTCCTCCACTGTCCCATAGCTCCCGGGCACTTGGTGCAGCCCAGCCCCAGGTTGGGCAGGGCCTGTCTATCCCAGGCAGTCAGCCCAGTGGTGCCAAGAGTGCAATCTCAAGTATGAACCATTCATGATTATGTAAAAAGACAGGTCCTATAAGAACCCAAAGTGGCCACCTTCCCAGCCAGAGCTCACCCAGTTCCCATTACAGAAGCCCTCCGGGTGATTCAATGTTAAAAGTGGGCAGGGTGCCTCATCTGAAGCTTTAGAAAGCCGGCTGGATTATACCTGCTGCCTCTCCCCTACCTGTTGAGGTAATGAGCTCTTAAAGAACTCAAGGGTCTGCCGGATGGCTTTCCCTTCTAGAAATCAAAGAAAGTGCTTCCCAGGTCTCACCACTTGAGCACTCTAAGCTCCAGGTTGGTAACACGAATACATAATGCGAAGGATGTCACCCGATTCCAGGACTTCTGGGTTAACCTTTGAGGTGAGTGCTTGTCCCTAGGCCTTGGCTCAGGGAATTATGTACAGCAGTAACGAGGGCCCAGCCTACCTCAAACTCAACCACCTTCTCCCTAAAGCCAAGCTGCCCTCAGATGTTCCTCAACAACACAGAGCTGTGGGTAACAATCGGCTTTAGTTCTTAAGATGAAACCTTCTTTGCCATGCCTTTGGAAGACCACGGAGCCATCCATTTCCAAATGGAGGCTGTAGGAATGGCAGTGAATTTGGAGGGATGAGCTGCACAAGACTGGCTATCCTGACTCGTGGGGGCTGCCAGTTTGGGTCACGGAGGTGGCCCTGCCTTATACCTCAAAGTTGGTGTCTGTGCCGCAGCCACAGGTCCAGCAGGGCCCCACCACTCGCAGGACAGTCTGGCGATCGGCATCCTGGATGGAGAACTTGGGGACGAAGGGATGCCAGGTCTGTAGTACATGGCCAATGGTGGTGCCGGGTGGAGCCTGCACTTCCATCTGGGGTGGGGGGGGGACACACACAGGGTCACTCACTGTCAAGTCAGAGTTCCCTGGTCCAAGCTACCACCCCCACCCGCCCTGGTTCTATCCCTTGCACCCAGCCTTCCCCTCAGCCCTCCCATCCCCACAAACCCTCTATGCACAATGGAACCACACCCCACCCAGCCACCTACCCCAGCCCCTCCTCAGCCCCACCCCTGCCCGCCCACCTCTTGGAGGCCGCAGGGGCAGCAGCTGCATCCACAATGGAGTGGGCGGAGCAGGCGGAGCACTTCTCGGTCCCCAGGGTCCACCAGGCGGACACGCAGCGGCCGACGGGCACCACAGCAGAGGCGGGCGCAACAGTTGCTCTCCTCGGCCGCCTGGCCCAGAGGCTGCCCTGCCCCTGAGCGTAGTTCATACCGGTTACAGGCTTCCCAGCCTAGGAGCGCTGCCAGGGAGACAAGAGTCTCGCTGAGGCCCTGGTGCCAATAGGGGCATGGCCCTAGAGCCCACCAGACCAGCCCGCATCTCGGGGCCCAAGCTCCTCAGCTGTTGGCCTCCACTCACCTTCCACTCTCTCAACCTTCTGGTGAATCAAGATCTGGTCAATCTAGAACGAGCATAGGGGCCCCCCCGACGTCAGCTGGCTGGCCTGGACAACCGGCTCCCTGTCACCCCTGCCTCTCGCTCACTTACCTGCACCAGGAATTCAAGTCCAGAAGGCACCCCAGGCAGTGGCAAGAAGTGTGCGGGAGGCCCTGGGGCCACAGGGCCGGGCGAGGGGAAGAGAGCAAAGCCTGGTGCGGGGTTGGGCACTTGGGCGGGCACGGGTACAGGCACTTGGGCGGGCACGGGTACAGGCACTTGGGCGGGCACTGGCGCCTGCCCGGGCCCAGGATGCAGCGCTGGCTCCGGGTACGCGGTGGTCACAGGGTAGGGAGGTGGAGGCGAAGGGTCGTAGCCTTTGGGGGGCAAGTAGCCTGTGGAAACAGAGGTGAAGATTAGGGGGCAAAGGTCCGCGATCCCATCCCCTCCCCGTCCATGCCAGGCCAGGAGGCTGCGGGGTTAACATGGGAAAGATGGGGCGGGGGAGCGGGCTGTCGGCTTCCCGGAGGAAGGGAGGGGCCCACAAAGCCAGTCCGAGCACATTCCCGGAGGATGTATTGAACGCCCGGCTCCCCAGTCTGTGGTGTGGGGGGGGATAACGGGGACCTCCAGCCTGTGCCCACTTACCTGCCATGGGTCAGGGCCCGGGGTCCAGGGGATGTCGGAGTCGGGGCCGCTTCGCTTTCGCAGCGGAGGTCGGCTTGGAGATAGGCAGACAGACACGCAGACAGACAGACACAAAGACCGACAGGCAAACGCGGAGAGGCAGCCGAGCCCGCCGGCCCAGGGTCCCGTGGGCGGCGCCTCTGGCTCGAGGAGAAACCGAAAGCGTCAGTGGGCGGGGCGAGGTACCTGGGACCCCGGATTCCCTCAGGGGCCCCAGAACCGCCCCCTCCCTTTGTTCTCCCATGCTCCGCGGAGGCGGCCCGGCCGGACGGCAGGACACGGAGGGGGCGCAGTCAGACCATCGGCCTGACCCCCAGAGAGGCCTCCCGGCTCCCTTCCAGCCCCATGCTCACCTGAACCCCCCAGAATTACCTAGGTGCCGGGCACTCCGGGGCTCCCAAGAGCTGGGGGAGGCGGGCCCAGGATTGGACTCCGCCCCCCGATCGTCCACGTCCCACCCCTGCTGGCCAGGGTGCGCACCTGCGCAGAGAAGAGGCCCGGCGCTCCCCCGTCGGGCCGCAGACCCGAGACCCTGCGCGCCTCTTCCGCTCAGATGGCAGCTGCAGAGAGGAGTCTCCTGGGGAGCGGGACCGCGGACACTCAGCCCCACGACCCACGCCAGCCCAGAGCGCCCTGCCCCTCCGGTGGACACAAGGGCCTGGCCATGTGGAACCAACCCCGGGCTCCTCCTTCCTCCCCAGGCGGCCAGCGCCTCCCTGACGCAGCGGAACGGGCTCCACACCCCCACTCCAGCTTCTGGGCCAGGTTCCAGCCCCCTTTCTCGGGCCCAGGGGGCTACCTTGCTGTCGCCTTTCCTGACTCAGCGGTGACCCACATAGACACCTTGCGATTGGCCCTTCCTTACTGGTGCTCCCAGCAGAGTGGGTGACAGACAGGCTGCCACCCGCGTGCACAGTGAGCGTGCGTGAGACTGAGGGCCAGAAAGGGAAGCCAGGTCAGAGAAGGCTTCCTCCCTCCCGGAGGAGTCCCTTCGCCAGGGTCCTAAACCCAGTTGTCAGAGGAAGCCAGCCTCCCAGAACTGAAGGGCCAGAGCGATCCTGTATCAAGATTAGGGTAAAGTCATAAAGGAGCAGGAAGATAGGAGAGAGAAGACAATAAAGGAGTCAGACACATTTTATGGTCGCATGCTCACCCCAGCTCTTCTTCCTGATCCATGTGGAACCGGGAGAAGAGAGACACCCTGTGCTATCTTATGCACATTCAGTCGTTGTCACAAGGTGGGTGCGAGCTACATCAAAGTCCCTGAGCTCACAGGTGAGGAAACCTAATACTTGCATTGAGGGGAGATTAAAGAGGGGTTGGGTGTCACGGCTAGAAGAGAGAGTAAAAGATTGTCTGCTTCTCTAGTTAGAGCTGCCGGCCACACAGCAATCGGCCATGTGCTTATAAGCGGTAACTTTAAGGTAGCACTATTATGGGAGGATATCGTGGGGAACTATTAATTATTAATATGAATTATGAGAATGTGATTGGGACTCACCTCCAGCTCACAAGGGTGAAGGCCTCCTGCACCCCAGAAGCCCAGCCTGCCAGGCGTCTTCATGTATGAGAATAAAGGGTGCACCATAATAAAGGGTTCACCATAAACACACTGCCTGTTCTCTGCACCCCACACCCAGGCCCGCAGGCAGAGGCGGAATCACCAACAAGCAAGCATTCACAAGTAAGCACAACAAGCCCATGCTTACCTCATTTACTGGGTACTCCGTCCCTGTCAGGGATGGTAAGTTTGAAAGGCGGTTTTGATTCTGTCAGAAAGTGCCTTCCAATTGGGAAAGAAAGCCTTCCAATTGGGAAAGACACCTGCCATACCTAGAAGCAGAGGTACGGTGAAAATGGTGAAATTGTGCTTTTTGAGTAATCTGTCACTGCTCACATATTTGAGAAAGCCCTAGGCCCCTGGAACTGTAGTCAAGAGCAGTAGGCCACCACCCTTAACAGAGGGTCTCCAGAGAGCTGAGACTAGGCCTGTGGGGCGGCAGGAGCCTCCTGACAGAGGCCGGGCCATGGTTGTCAGCTGTTGTCTGAGACTCATAGTAACCCCACACCGCAGTAGCGTTTCCAGGGTTGTACATCTTTATGGGTGCAGACTGGCGCATCTTTCCCCAAGGAGCTCCTAGCAGGCTCGCATTTTTGAATCTGCAGTTAGCAGTGGGGTGCTTCACTGTGACCCCACCAGGACTCTTGAAGGAGAAGGTCAGACTTGTGTTTTGAGAGACCATTTACACAATGTGGAGAATGGGAGGCCCCAGGGCTAGGTGGTTGGCTTTCGTCTGAGGAAGAAGCAATGGTGTATTGGGCTAAAGTCGTGGTGGTGGACCCAAAGAGATGTGGCCTATTTTAGAGATACTACCAGGGGTCCTCAAACTTTTTAACAGGGAGCCAGTTCACTGTCCCTCAGACCAGTGGGAGGGCCAGACTATAGTTTAAAAAAAACTATGAACCAATTCCTAGGCACACTGCACATATCTTATTTTGAAGTAAAAAAACAAACGGGACAAAAACACCCGGCGGGCCAAATAAATGTCCTCAGTGGGCCGCATGTGGCCCACGGGCCTTAGTTTGGGGACGCCTAGTAACTAGACTATGTTGGAGTTGGTGGGTGGGTGAGATGTCAAGGTGTATAGTCTATGATGACTCCAGATATCTTCCTGGTAGCCAGGCAGATGGAAGTACAAGCCACCAACAGAAGCAACCAAGATTCAGGTTTGGGACACTTCTGTCCTATGTCCACCCCTCCCCCAGCATCAGTCAGGAGCCAGACCAAAATGCCTGGTTTTGCTTCTGGTATCCTGTGGGAAACAGAGAACTGGGAAGAGAGTGTATGTGGACAAATGATTTAGTCTCATATTTTAAGATTCTGGGTGGAGGGAGGCCTTCACACTTGTGGCCTAGAGATGAGTCCTAATCACATTCTCATAATTAATATTAATCCCCACTCTAGCCTCCCATAGATAGTGCTGCCTTAAAGTGACCTCTTACAACACATGGCTGATTGCTATTTAGCCTACAGCTTTATGTATAGAAGCAGACATGTGCTATTGCTCTTGCTGCTTAGGGGACAGTCACTCCCCCTTACCTGCCAAAGCATTGGTGTTAGGTTACTCCTCCAATAAACTCGGGGACCTTTAGGGTTAGGGTACAGCCCATTTTGTCACCTATGTGGTTTCCTGTAATCTGGGGGGCTTGCATGCCCTGAGAGTATATAAACTGATGTTGGAGATACATTATTTTACTCCCTGTGCGGACCTGGCTCCTGAAGCATTGCAGAGGTGAGCACCCCAACTTTTGTCTGTCTCTTAAGTTCTTACCTCCAATTACACAACTGCCCGTTAGGACCCATTGGGATGTGAGGCTGGATCTCACAGTATCTGATACTGCTTCAGAATCCATCAAATCACACACTTTCAGAAATGTAAGTCCTCAACAGACTTATTGAGCATCTACTACATGCCAGATAGCATTTGAGGTAAAAGGAATATATTCCAAAGCCCTCAGGCTGCAAGTTGATGCAGACTCATAGTGACCCCATATGATAGGACAGAACTGCCCCTGGGGGTCTCCAAGGCTGAAACTCCTTATGGGAGTCGACTGTTCCATCTTTCTCCCCAAGAGCAGCTGGTAATTTCTATTTGAAGACCTTTGGATTAGCAACCCGACACATCTCCACGAGGCGACCAGGGCTCCTCTTTAGGAATATCCAGCAGTAAACAAAAGGGCTCCAAACTTCCACCCTACTGAGCCTACCATTTAGCAGAGAAGAGATGGAGAAGACACTGACATCATAAGTCACATGGGGAACGTGCTCTACAGAAAATTAAAGCAAATGAGGATTGCGAGTGGTCAAGAGCAGGGAGGAAGGAGCTACGATGTTAAATAGCGTGGATGAAAAAGGCATCACAGAAGATGGTAGGTGAGCAAAGGCGCAAAGACCCAGGGAGCATGGAAACAGAGTGAGGAAACCCTGGAGGCAGACATGTGCCTTAACTTGCTTAAGGAACAAAATAGAAGCCAGTATGACTGGGATGGAGTGAAGGAGGAGAGAGTGGTAGAAGGTGCGATCAGAGGTCACAGGAGGCTAGATCACATGTGGTCTTGTGGACCAGTGAAGGGTCTGGGCACAGATGTGACAGGAATGGTCATGTCCCACTCTGGCCACAAGCTTGGATCATCTGGAGTGCTTAAAAAAAACACCTCTTCAGTCTAGAAGACATCTACATATGCAAATATATTGATATATGAGGATGGGGAAATAGATCTATGTGCATATATTTATAGGTTTAGTATTAAGGTAGCAGAAGGACATTGGGCCTCCATTCAAGTACTCCCTCAATGCAAGAATAATTTCATCTATTAAATTGGCATTCTATCATGCTCACCTTCCTGACACAATTGCTGAAGACAAAGTGGGTGAATAAGCAAAAGTGGTGAAGAAAGCTGATGGTGCTCGGCTATCACAAGATAGCGTGTCTGAGGTCTTAAGGGCTTGAAGGTAAACAAGCGGCCATTTAGCTCAGAAGCAGCAAAGCCCACATGGAAGAAGCACATCAGCCTGTGTGATCACAAGGTGCCGAAGGGATCAGTTATCAGGCATCAAAGAACAAAATATCATATTATTGTGTGCTCACCTCCATGATATGATCGCTGAAGACAAATGGGTGCATAAGCAAATGTG